TGGGAAACTCACTGGCACGTCCCACCCACAGGATCTCACCTGCCATCTAGAGAAAGCTGCAAGGACGATGACATCAAGGTGGTGGTGAAGCCGGCGTCGGATGGTCCCTCAAAGGGCATCCTGCGCTACACCGAGGACCAGTTGTCTCCTGTGACTTCAACAGCGCCAGCTTTGATGCTGGGACTGGCACTGCCTTCAACAGCCACTGTGCCGAGCTCAGTTCCTGGTATGACAATGAGTTTGGCTACAGCAACAGAGCGGTGGACCTCAGGGTCCACATGACCTCCAAGGAGTAAGCACCGCCCTGGACCACCAGCACCAACACTAGAAAAAGAGAGAGGCCCTCAGCTGCTGGGGAGTCTTTGCCCCAACGCGATCCCCCAGTCCACTGAGAAACCCCCTCATCGAGTTTCCATCCAGGTCCCTTGAAGAAGGGGAGGGACTTAGAGCCCACCTTTGTCATGTACCATCAATAGAGTACACTAAAACCCAGTGCTGCCACCCCTTCCCCCCCCCCCACCAAAGTGACCATGGTGCCTGGGACAGAGGTTATGTGTCGGCTCAGCAACATGGACTTGTTCTCACCGAGGCTGACTTGGCCACTGACACTGCTGAGTACCAACACTGAGTCCAAGGTTTAGGACCATTCCTTCGAAAGACTAACCAACAATTTGGTGGCAGGTTTACTTATAAAGGACCACTTCTTCATGGAAAAGGGCATTGTTTCATTCTTATTGGAAGAGATGTGGAATTGCTTTCCTTGCCTGCAATGCTTCTGTCAAAAGTACCATTATGGTTTTATCTGGCACAACATCGTCTCAGACTAAGGGACTCCTCACTTTACGGCAAATACAGTTTATCAATGGGCCCATGCACATGGAATCCACCTTCTTATCATGTTCCCCATCTTCCTGAGCAGTTGGTTTGACAGAACAGTAGAATGGACTTCTAAAGACACAATTACAGCACCAGCTAGATGGCAAGACCTTGCAGGGCTTGCAATGTCTATAGGGGGCAGTATGTGCTCTTAACCGAAGTCCAATACATGGTGCTGTTTCTCCAATGGCCAGGATGCACAGGTCTAGGAACCAAGGGGCAGAAATGGGAGTGGCACCACTCACTATTCCCCCTACTGACCCACTGCCACATTTTTTGCTTCCTGTCCCTGCAACTATATGCTCTTTGTGTCTAGGTCTTAGTTCCAAAGGTTGTAATACACCTGCCTGGAGATACAGGACTGATTCCATTGAACTGTAGGAGTAGCTCCTGGCAATTTGGGACTCCTGCCTCTGGATCAACAGTAATGAATCGTGCTCCTGTATTGCGTGGTGTGATTGATCCTGATTACCAGGGGGAAGTTGGATTAGTGTTGGGTAATGGAAAGAAAGAATATATGTGGAACCCAAGAGTCTTTAGGTCGTCCTTTAGTGTGCACCTGTCCTGTGATAAAAGTCAATGGTCAACTATAACAAACCAATTCTGACATGACTACTGATGAATGGCCTATACTCTTCAGGAATGAAAGTGTGGGTCACCCTACTTAGCAAAAACGACTACCAGCTGAGGGACTTGTTGATGGCCCAAGGAATATGTCAATTTGATATAGCATGGTATGGTGAACTCCATGATGGCATTGTCTGTCAAGCAGCCAAGCAATTTGGGGAAGAACAGGGTGGAGTATTACCTCCTCAGTTTAGTCAGTTTTGCAGAAGCTAGCTCATTTTTACTTCTGGCTCGGGATCCTGCGTCTGGTTTGTTGAACTTGGTAGAGTGCCAGGTGACCCCAGGAGCCATTAGCAGAGGTCCAACCTTGGCTTCACTCAGCTCCGCATGCCCAGCTTGTGCTCTTCCTACTCCATCTTCCTGCTTCCTGTTCATCATCAGCCCTCCCCGGGAGCAGTGGTTCTCAGCTTTCCTAATGCCGAGACCCTTTAATACAGTCCCTGTTATGGTGCCCCCCCAACCACAAATTTATTTTCGTTGCTGCTTCATAACTGTAATCTTGCTACTGAATGAATCAGGTGACCACTGTGAACAGGTCATTCGACTTTCATGGGGGTCGAGACCCACAGGTTGAGAACCACTGCCCCAGAGTCTAGGGGAAGCCCCAGCTTACATCTGACCCATGGGCTTGAACTGGACTGGCTTAACCCACTTCTACAACTGTGTGAGCCATTTCCAGGGAGAACTCTTCCTATATACATACAAGTGTCACCGCTTGTGCTTCTCCCAAGAACACAGCCTAATGCAAAACCCATCAGCAGCTGGGGGAGGGGCATGAAGGTGCTGGCTTCTGTAACACTTACAGCCGCGGGCAGCCTAGTGCTACTGTCCAAGCTTACCCGACTCTGGCAGCGATGCTACCAGTGAAGTGATACAGGGCCTAATTCAGCGGTTCTCAACCTGGGGGTCGAACGACCCTTTCACAGGGGTCGCCCGATTCATCACAGTAGCAAAATGACAGCGACGAAGTAGCAACGAAAAGAATTGTATGCTTGGGGGGGTCCCCACCACGTGAGGGACTGTGTGAAAGGGTCGTGGCATTAGGGAGGGAGGCCGAGAACCACTGCCCTGATTGAAGTTGAGAACCAGCGAGTCAGCGAGGAGGAAGAGACTAACTTGAGCTGAGACAAGCCCCCATGTTGACGGTTAACTTCAGCATAATTGCTTCCTGAGGCACAGGCCGCAAGGAGTGAGCCGAACGCAGGCCACGGGAAAAGCAGCTTTGGGGACCCTTCCTCACACACGCGGTCGGGGCCTTAAAAAGCGCGTGGTGAAATGGCTCGCGTGGCGCCTTTCGAAGCCCCTCCGAG